AGCCCCTTCAGGTGAAGCTGTGCTTCTGAGTACTTCCTTCTTGGTCCCAGAAAGTCTCGTATATCGTGAGTAGCACTTCTCAGGTTAGGGCGACGCTGGTGGCTAACAAGGCGTTGTTTTAACACTGCTGGGTTACAAAGGGATTACTTTCACACTATCACATGTCACTTTCTTATTCAATAGAAAGTTTTTCAGTTAAAAAAAAAAAGTTTTCATAGATGCAAGTAGCATAGCTGTTTTAGTAAAAACAGAAAAAAATAATGCTATCTTTTCTTGTGCCTGTAATGTTAAGATTATTTTCTTCATGTGGTGAAAAAGAAATCAACACAATCTTTAGTTATGTGCTTTTGAACGCATGCGCCATAGGAAACAGATTGAGCCAAGGAGGAGGGCAATTACAGAGAGAAATACCTTTTCAAATATGTGTTATTATGCTTGTGTTTGTGTGTGGGGTTTGTTTTTTTTTCATTCCTGTGTTAATGATGACTGTTTTATAGCTGGACTTAATGAATCAGAGAAGCCATGTCAGGAACTTTTTAGGAAAAAGTGTTTCGGTTCATTGTTATGATTACAAAGTCTCAAAGTTAGTTTATAGTGAGAATGCAAGCTAACATAAATACAGAGAATGTAGACAGGGTCTTGACTGAGTGTAAGTCGATTTAACTATTTCAGTTCTACTGTATGAGATTTTCATGAAGGCAAATTTTACTTTTCAGTGATGTTACTGGATATGTCATTCTGTTATCCTGATAAAATTTATTTGATGATCTCATTCTTCCTTCCCAGAAATATAATCCCTTTAGTAATGCAGTAAATTGTTGAAGCTATTGGTCTGATAAATATAACCTTGTCAAAATGATCCTTGCTTATAGTATGCTACTAGAAAGACTACATAATTTGGTGGAAAAACTTCAGGTAAGAATTTAAGGCAGTTATGGAACAATACACTGTTCTGTAAGTAATGAAAAGCCAGGGATGATTAATCTTTTTGGGATGATGTGCTATCCTGAGTTATGCAGTAGATATAAAAGTTTTTCCGTGAGCTGTTTTGCACGGATATAAAAATATTTCACCACACACCTAAATGCAGACTGGTTAGGATTTCTTTTTTTAATAGACTCTAGCAGATCTTTTAAACCTAGAACTGAAAACTAGGTGGTAGCAGTAGTAAGATAACAATGATAAATCTTGACATTTGTAATGCGTTCTCTTTTAGACCTTTTTTTTTAAAAAAGGGATAAGCCACTTATCTCATTTTTAGTGGTAAACAAACTGTATTGAGATGTTGGAAGTTTATTTGTGGGGATTAAAGGTCACATAGCAGTTCAGTGGCAGAATACAAGGATTTAAACACAGAATCATTGAGTGCTGTGATCATCTGTGTCAGGAGAACCACCTTAGCTGTCGTGACTCCCTCTCCTCTTGTCATCTTCCCACTTTTCTCCAGTCCTACTCTGAAACTAATTAGAAACTGCCTCTATTAATAGAGGGAGCTATGAGAAGGGTGCAGGAAGTAGGGAGATGCAAAAGGTTTCTTGTGCATTTGGAATAGAAAACAGTAGCTGTAATTCCATTTTTTCAAAGGGTGGAAAGGATATTACAGTCCAAGTGAGGTTATGTAATTCTTGATCTAGAGTTTTAGCTGTGAGTGAGGAGGAAAGGTTGGTTTTGGAGAAGTTACGCAATAGAAAATTTCAAGGCAATCACTCTAGTTGTGAGAATCAGAGAAGTGCTGTCCAACTTTCTTGATGGGTCACGTATTTTCTGCCTTGGACTCTTTCCTGTCCCCTTTCTGACTGCTGCTTTGGGAGTACATGTTTTTGATGCCTAACCAACTAAAATTGGTTAGGCATTGAAGTAGAAGAAAATTAGTGTCTGAGTTCAACTGCTGGGAAGTTTTACATGAGGCCAGAACAAATAAGCTTTGCAGGTATTCTCTAAAAGCAGTTTTGTAGTTCTTGCTGAAGTATTTTGAAGCAATTGAGCAAAATCTCAATAAAGATGTTCATGTTGTTTATACAAATAACACAACAAGGTGTTTTGTAGTTCTTGCTGAAGTATTTTGAAGCAATTGAGCAAAATCTCAATAAAGATGTTCATGTTGTTGTGTTATTTGTATAAACAAGGTGAGCCTTTCAAATGTTAATCTGCTGTTATATACTGTGTGCCAGAGTACCAAAAAGAACCATACATAATGCAACTATACTTGCTCAAAGAGAGCAGATGTATTAAGCTATGTCAATAAAATTATTTCCTTCAAAGTACTGTGACTTCTACTGTAATGTTAAGATTATTTTCTTCATGTGGTGAAAAAGAAATCAACACAATCTTTAGTTACGTACTTTTGAATGTATGTGCCATAGGAAACAGAATGAGCCAAGGAGAAGGGCAATTACAGAGAGACATTCCCCTCTTTAAGTATATCCTTCTGTGATCTCCATGTGTGTTAGCAACATGTTGGTGATGTTGAGGGAAAAAAGAATTGCTGTCAATTGTGGATGATTATGGACCATTAGAAAAAGAGAAAGCACACATGTTCATATGGTAAACTTTAAACCTTATTCATCCTGCATTGTAGTGTAAGAATCAGAGGAAGACTGCAAAAGGAAAAGAGTAACTGCTGTTTGAAGAGTTTAGTCTCCCTGCATACTCACTGGCATGTCACAAGTACCATTTAATGTGCAACCAGCAACTGCAAAGTCACTGGGTCGATTATAGTGTAGAGTAGGTGGAAAGGAGGAGATGTGAGTAAATTCGAGGTTTGGAATGGCTGTTTGACATCTTTGACTCTTTCTGATTACATTTTCTGCCTGTACCTTTACTGCTCTTGTGCTTTTGTGGTAAGAATATGTGCCTTACTTGAGGATTTTATAGACAAAGGATCTTTAAAGGATCTTTCCTGTTGGTCTTTCTCTGTGCGTAGGGAGGGGGCATAAGGAAAGCATGAACGTGAAGTATTTTTTGGTTTTGCTTGATAATCATTTAAGAGTTAGTAATCAAAACCTTCATATTGCATTTCCACAGTAATTTTCATTGTTCTAGTGAAGGTTACAATTCAGTAAAGTCCCCGTGTAAGTAAAACTGTCATTCTCCTTCTGTAGCTATTTTCAGTCAAACTCATCCAGTTCTCTATAGTTTGGACTTCCCTGGACTATTTTTTTTAATGTGTGAACTGGTATTCCAGTTAGTCCCTTAAATGAACATTTTCTTGTTGTTGAGCTCTACGGATGTGCTTCTGTCTACTGAAAAGCTTCAGTAAGCAGAACTTCATTAATAAAGTAATAAATAAATTTGTTTAAATGCTATATGCTGCATAAAATGCTTCCCTTAGTCTGTTCTGTGTAGTACCTAACGGAATATTCAGGTTATTGAATTTTTGCTCACACATTTGCACACTATTGATTATTGAAATTATTTTGTGCTTATGTCATCATCACTCTTCAATATGTGGTTACCTACCAGCTTTTAATATGCTGTTTGGTGGAATGATTATAATAAATCAACGCTTTCATAATGTTTCATTAACAGACAGAAGCCGATATACATGTTGGAAAATTGGAAGTCATTGATCACTTCATCAAGGAAGTGAATCTGAATGAATTGAAAATTAGTCGTGAGCAGAAGAAAGTAAGTAGCAAGCATTGGGCCACATCAAAGTTTTCATCTCTGCTAGTGTCAGTAAGGAGTGCAGAGGTAGTGTACAGTTTGGAAAACAATAAATTCTTTCTATTGCTTAAGACATCTTAGGTAGAGTGACCTTAGGTTTTTCCACAGTGTGTGCCGAGTAGGGATCAGGCTATCAGACTTGCACAGCCCATTGACCCCTGTTCCTGTCTGTCGACATAATATCCATCCTGTACATAGGATGTGGCGTATCCATGACTACTGCTTTCTGCCTACTAAAAGCATTTAAGTTAAATGTGGTTTGTGTGTGTGCTTATACAAGCTTTTTTGGTTTTATTATTTTGTTCTTGATAGAACATTGCAATTTAGTTGTGAGCAAGACCACATAAAAACTGAGTGATCTTGATTACCAGGGTAGCTAGACTAAGCCCAGAAAACAGGGTGCTACATTTCCATAGCTGATACTGAAAATATTGTTGTGGTTGTGAGTAACTGCGGAGAGGATTATCATCAGAAGTGCTGTATTAATTATGTTGTGGAACTGATTTAGGAGCTGTCCTCAGAATCAGCCTGCATGGGCCTTGAAAATCAGGACAAAGGTTTATTACTAAATGGTACATTTAATGAGGAGGAATCTGCAAAGTCTTTTCAGGAAGCTTTGCTTCAATGGAGAAAAGGTAATCGTGATCACAGAGAACAACTGCGTGCCAGTGAGGTCCTATCAGGTATGACTTTTTTCTGTTTTAATTGCGTTTCAAAAACATTAGGAGCCATTTTGGTGAGTTAGCAGATTTTTGATTAGTGAAAGTAGATGTTCTGGTAGAATAGTAAATGTTTCTTCTTAAGTTTTCTCTCTGTGTTCCTTTATAAATTAACAATCTCTGAAGTTTATTTTTAATAATGTGCAGATTAGTGTTTATCCCAATTCTTGTAATGAACCAAGGTGTTGGCCAGGTTGTTTAGCTTCTGTCCCTGTGCTTTTCTATGACATTGTTTCTCATGTGAGAATTTAATGTGGGCTGTAATGCTCAAGCATAATGTCACAGCTTTTAACTGAGACAAGGAATGTGCATGGCTCAGGATTTTGTATGTTGTATCAAAGTACATTTTCTGCTTGCCTTTCACAGACTTTTATTATTTCTTTGTCCAAGTGAAAAGATGCAATCAGTTGAAGTGCATGGAAAAAAATGAAAAAAAAATCCCTCTTGTGTGATTAGATTTGTGCAAGCTAATCTCTTTCCTCTAGTCTGTGGATGGTGTTCGTTCTTTGTGTATTTTGTACAAAAAGTATTACACTGATTTCTTCTTCTTCTTTTTTTTTTTTCTTTCCTGTGATATGGTGGGATTTTCATCTGTGGAGTCACAGATTTCCCCCATCCCCCCCCCTCCAATGTGGTACTCCTCCTTTATGTGAGCAGCTGTAATAAATGAGTTTTTACTAATTACCCCCACTACTGACTGTGTTGTGTAAATATAATACTGCTGGCCGTTTATATTTTGGAATTATGCAAAGACCTAGCTAGTCATAGACTACTAATGTGACATTCATTCAAAAATAATGTAGTTAAATAGCAAGTTTATAAATCTGAATAGCTGTATAATTTTTTTTTAAAACAATTCTAATAGAATCTGTGGGAATTTGTGAGGTACAGACCAATCTTACTGTTATGAAGGAACCTATCCAAATTGAGTTCAAGAAGGATGGCCTGAGCTACATGGAGAAACTCTTGCTTAAGAAATACAGAAGGTATTGTTGAAGTTGCTGGTACTAATGAAAGAAGTCAGAAATACTTAACAGTGTTAACAAAAATTTCATTGAAACTTCTAAAATATTAGATATATTATCAAGAGTTAAGATGACTGTATACAGGGTGCTTTATTGTAGTATAGTAACCATTATAACCAGACTTAATGACTTAATATTTCAGAATTACTGCAGAGAGTGTATTTGGAGGGAATCTCTTTGCTATCAGTTTATTGTAGAATTTGAGCACTGGTAATGATACTTGTTGCTTGATTTTGGGACATTTGCTACAGGAGTTTTATGGAGAAAAGGAAGTACAATCTTTAGGACACTTTTGTAAACATTACAGAATGGTTTTGTTAGTCCCTGAGGTGCGAGGTCATCTCAATGAAATCAGGAAGAGTTGCTGCTTTTCAGCAGCGGTTAATACTGCTGCAGTAAGTAGTGTGGTGCTTTGTTTGTTTTTTAACGACTGTGATATTATAGATTAAAAAAAGGATTAATTTTTCAGATTGATTTCTTTTCCTTTTTTAGAACACCTGTTGATCAAATTTCTGGTAATTGCACTAAAGATTTAAGGCCTGTGCAAACACTGAGTGTACATGAGGCTATGATTGGAGGAAGGGGAGGAGGAGACGATGATGATGATGACGACGATGACTTAACAGGTGTAATAGATTTCTGTTTATTGAATATTGTTTCTTGGGATTTTTTTTTGTCGCTGTGATTGCTGAACAGTTACATACTTAAGCATTTTCTGCTTAAAGAAAGTAACAATAATGAAAGGAGGAATTTATGGTACTTCATAATAAATAAAAAGTTTTCATTTTTATAAGTGTATCTTGAACAGGAAAAAATGAAATGCATCAAATTAATTATATTTCATAGTTGAAGAGGTGAAGAGATGTTGGCCATCTGTTTTTAGAGAGGAAGTACCCAACACTATTTCTGAAAGTGCGGAGCCCTCTTTGAAAATTGAGTTCCTTGATGACGTAAGTATGTAATAATGGGCTTCATGAATCTTCACAGTAATCTTAAGTGATTTGTTTAAATGTTGATCTGTTAAATATTTACAGTAGCAACAGTTAAATAACTTCTAATTAAAAAAAAAATGGTGCATTATTTATGTCTTACAAATGTGGAAAATTTATCTTTCCAAAGGTTACCTGTAATTTTTTCCTGCTGTGTCCAGGGACCCTTACTATATAGAAATTACACAAAAATGAAATCTGAAGGCTTTTAATCACTTGAGTTAATATTTCTTTGAATTTTAATCTATTGCTGTATATGTTTTTGGTTTTGTTTTTAGTCTTATGGCAAGGACTTGGAAGAATCATCTGACAATTTGACGATGGAAGCTGGGGCTATGGGAATGAATAAGCAATGGAGAACTGAACCACTCAAGCAGCGTGGAAGGTATCAGAAATGCAGAGATTATTTGGAAGAGAAAAGGGAGTAGTCTGATTTAATTACATTCCTAAGAAACTGGTGCTTTCATTTGCAGTCATACTTCAAATGAAAGGGGGGAATCTGTGACTGTAAACTGTAAATTGTTTTAAGGCAGTTAAGATATCTGCCTTCTTATCCTTGGCGCAAGACATAGACTGTGCCAATATCATGACACTTAGTTACTGCTTTCCCTTCCTTTACCTTTCTTCCAAGATCCTGTCTGTGATTGCTGGTTTTTGTCCTTGTAAGTTTTCATTTGAATGACCTAATGATTTGATGACTAGTTTGTAAGACAGTCTAAGAGCAGTTTGGCAGTTAACGGGCATACAACACGTTTCCTGTTGAAGTTAGTGAATAGTAAGTTTGTGTCTTCGACTTTGTCAGTGAGCCACCAAGGTACATTAAGTGCCTGTAACTAGAGAGGCATCACTTTGAAATGTCATTATTTTGTTTGCTTAATCACTCCAATGTTAAAGCATGTAAGATACATTTCTTTATGAGTTTATGTCCTGAATCACAGGTAGAATTTCTCTTTTGTACGTCCTTACCTCAGCAGGAGCAGGGACTAACATACATACAAGTCTAATTGGTCAGTGTGGTGTACTTTTAAGATACACTCACTCGACTAATCTTGTAATTCCAGGCAAAACTAAGAGTCCTAAGAATTAATGATACATGTACCATTATTCTGATTTCCCAACATTTATTTATGATTAGATGTGATCTGTTTTGTTATATTGTATTCTCCTGGTCTTTCCTCCTTCCTCTGTTTCAAAGCTTTGCAGTTGCAGATCTGAACAACACAGTACTAGACCATTTGCCAAGAGAAACTGTAGGCATAAGAAAGTCATGCCTCTCTCATGACAGAGAAAATCATGTTATTTAACTTCCACAGCTGACATTCAATATTCTTTGCCTTTTCCTCTTGACAGAAATCCTATTTCTTCTGAAGAAATTTCTCAAGGTAAATTTTGAAAGCTTTTTTTATACAGTATACATAAGGAAGGACTTTTTACAAGGACGTGTACTGATAGGACAAGGGACGATGGCTTTAAACTGGAAGAGGGAAGATTTAGATGAGATATTAGGAAGAAATTCTTCCTCATGAGGGTGGTGAGGCAGTGGCACAGGTTGCCCAGAGAAGCTGTGGATGCCCCATCCCTGGAAGTGTTCAAGGCCGGGTTGGATGGACCTTTGAGCAACCTGGTCTGGTGGAAGGTGTCCCTGCCCATGGCAAGGGGGCTGGAACTAGATGATCTTTAAGGTCCCTTCCGACGCAAACCTTTCTATGATTCTATAAGTGTATACAGTTTTATCATTCTCATATAGGATGTGGTATTCAACTTTGATGGTTTTCCAAAAAAAATAATTAAAAAATCATTAAATTATGTGCCATTCCCTGTGCTATGCAGGTCTCTTGACCACAATTTGATCGACTGTGCAAGCTATTTTGAAATGATATGCATCTACTCTGACAGTAATCTCGCAGCTGTGAGCTCGTATTTGAGAGAGAGACTGCCCCAATATGAGTTGTATACTGAAAACAAACGCATTATAAAGCAGATGAAGTTTATCTGTACTGTGTTAGATTCAATGTATGACACATCCTTTTTATGTAGGAAAATGCTTTTATATAGATAGGTTGAGAAACTGTATAAATGATTACCTGTTCGACATGAAAGGTCATCGTTTCTGTAGAAGTATTCCAGTGCCTGTTGCATGTCAGTGAAATCACCATGAGTTTTGCAGCTTTATTTTGTGGCACTCTTAAGGGGTCCCAAAGATCTTACTCTGTGTCCTAAAACTATGTAAAATATATTGTCATTTTTGTAATATTAAGAAATAAGTTAGAATTTAAGGGTAATTCTTATTCTTGCAAGTTCCAAACAATTGCTCCAGCACTTTAGGACTGAGCACTTGTTCTCTTTGTGCTTAGTTCAAGAAACTGCTTATTTAGGTCTTCAAATGTGAAAAAACAAACAAGAGCTGACTAGTGAGATGTAATTTATGTGCCTCTTTGCACATAGGATAAAAAATAAAATGGTTACATCTTATATAAACAAAGAAAAACAGCTTGCAGAATCATTCCCAGCCTAGTAGTAGGTATTTGAAACCATTATACTACTTTTAAAGAAATTTTATCAAATTGCTACTATTGCTGTTCTTACGCTGGCTCTGATTAGATGATAGCCTTCTAAATGTAAAAAAATTACATTAGCATGAAGTAGTAGTTGGAAACATGTTGAGATTATTATCAAGATCTAATGTTTTTATAGACCATGTTGTACAAGAACATATGCGTTAGATACAGAACTGGTACTACTACCACCTGGTAGGTCTAGTATGTGTATGTTGGCATCTCTGGATATCAGGCAGAAAATTAACTTTTCTTACTTGTAATTTTATGGCTTAAGGGTAATTTCAATGGCAGTTTCATATTTTAAGTTCATGAAGAAAATATAGTAGACTTGCAGGTTATAATTCATATTCATTTCCATTAAAAAAAAATTCCTATTTTCGTCATTTTGTTGTACTCTTGTAGAAAAAATGGTTGTCTGCAGTCATCTTGAAAGAAATGCAGTGCAAAAGGAGAATTTTAAACTAAAGACTATGAGAAGATCCCTTAGCTCCTGTAAACTACCTGAGAAGATCTCTAACCGTACTGAACTAATGAGCAACAAATATCTCCATGAGACACAACTGCTGAAAACCAATAAAGATCCACAACAACTGGACAGTGTCTGTAATAGTCAGAGTTTGGTTTTGCCTGTAATTATGAAGCCTTCAGTGGTAAAATATTATATCTTTGATTGCTAAATAGATAAACTATGCTTAATCTACTTACCCAGTTTAGCATGAGGCAACATACATTGTTCCTGAATCAGCTGAGAGTGAGTGATAGTTGTATGGTTACCATGGAATACTCTACCGCTTTTCCACATTCTCCTCCAGAAATCCCACTCCAAAGCAATTGAGAGTATAGTTTTAATCAGAGGATTGTCACTGCCTACCATATTTCATATGTAGGGGTTGAAGGCCTCTATGCTTTACACTTTGTATTGTCAGTGTTCTGTTGATGTTCAAACAAAGGAAAAGAAAGAGCAGGCTAGTCTCAGACAAAAAAAAAAAAGTGTGTTGGGGGAGAAGGCAGCTCTTCCCATGTTAGTACCAAGGACACGTCACCTCTCGACTGAATGACAATAATTGTAGATATTTAACCTAAACTTTGAATAGTTTGAACACTTGAATGTGTTCTTTTACTGGAGATAAAATTGAAAGCAAAAAATCATGGAGGAGGTTGGGACATTAGATTTGGAGTCATTGTTAACCAGTATTAGTTTAGTTGATGTACACAAAGGTAAGTGAAAACAAACAAAGAAACAGTGCTTTTCATGTCCATAGTGGAAGAATAGACTCAAACTCTGACAACATTAGCAGTTGAAGTTTATAGGATTTTAAAGCATATATCATGCAAAACCATCATCCTTATGAGTATCTATTACACCAGGCTATTAGAATCATTCCAAGTTTTATGAAATGAGCATTTTATTAATATAAACTTGCAAGGGCAACTTACAAACTTTCCTATTTCTTTTCCTGTTTCTAATATCTTTGTGTTTTATTCAAGTTACAGGATGTAGCCAAAAGACAGAAATCTGTTTCTACACAGTACTGGGGACTTGAAGGTTTCTTTGTTGTAGGTGCAAACCTTCAACAAGCAACGCTTGAAGCACGTTCTTCACTGTGTGCTGACTCTAGCCCTATGGAGAGTAGTATCCCATTTCCAGGTAATGGCATATGGATAAAATCCTCAAACAATACACGTATTTCTCACTGTTGCTGTAAGATGTCATTCTCTTCCTGTAACTTGGATCTAGCTTACTTTTACATGTCACTTCGGGGCAGCAGTCATGCCAACACTCAAAAATGATGCTATGGAAGGATAAAATTACTACCTTGAGGTAAATTACATCAATATAGTGCCATAGACTTACATGCTTCTTTATATCCCCTGAGAATTTGGTTCCACTAGGAATTTCTGCCTTTCTTTGTGCATAATATACATCACAAAAAATGCTTTTAATGGTGTATATGAGACAACATGTGAAATGATAGGTGAACGTGAATATTGATATCATCAAGTATATCGCTTGAATTTAAGATTGTTAGTGTGTTATATATGACTTTTTTTACATTGTATGTAGAAAATTTATTGCATTACTTCTTTAAATGACACACATTAAATGCAGCAAATATAGTAACAGTAAATGCATATTAACATGAAACCTGCAAATAATTTTCTCTAATACCTTTTAATTTCAGGAGATGGAAAGTGGGTTACTGAAAGGAGCTTAAGTGAATATGCAGATGACTCTGTAGTTCAAGGTGTCTTAGAAAGTCAGTTGAATAGACCTTCAAGTGATTTGGAGACTCAAAATAGAATTTCTTCCCCAATGGGAGCATGGAGGTCATACCCAGGTAAGGATAGCAACAGCTTTGAGGTCCTAATTTAACAGGTTAATTTTTCTTATGTAAAAAGCAGAAGCACTGTCTGTGATGATTCTGTTGAATTTGGGTCATTTTTACATCTTCATTTATGTATTTGTATTTTGAGTATAATGGCTTATACACAGGGCATTGTTTTCATAAGAATAGGCTTTGGAGTTAAAAATTATGTCTTTGCAGCTGTTGCTAATAGTTCTTTTTATTGTGCTTAGTTTCTACTCCTGCCTCTACCCCATTACTCCCCTCTTAGCTTGAATATTTAGATAATAAACTGTCTAGAATGAGATTATGAGTTACTGTGTGTTTTGCAGCATCTAGTACAATAAGGTTTTGATGTAATATGATTTCTTCATGCTACTGAAATAAGTCTTTTTACATGAACTATAAAAAACAAGGAAACAAGTAATACATAATGGCAACTGCACTTTTTAGTTACTTTTCTCAATTTCAACTGTCTCCATCTCAGGGAATATAGCTTACATTATTTCTCTCATCTTAAGCAACCAGTTTGGCATTTTAATTTTAAAAATGCTATGTGCAGAAAATGAAACTGTCAATTTTGAATCCCAGAAAAATATTTGAAAGTGTCTTTATTTTATTCATGTTAGTTTAAATTGAAAAAAGACAGAACCAAAGTTTTAAGCTTCCTACACACATTTTCAGTCTCTTCCTCTCCCCCAAAATTTGTGCCATTGTACATCATATTTAAAGTAAATATTTTTCTGAAAGACAACCCTGAAGTATGAGGTGCTACTTCCCAATATAATTGTAAACTCTTTATTACCACTTATTAATTGTCTTAAGCAGAATTAATAATCATTGATAAATTCATAATTTTAACAGCAGTTAATGTCATTAGTGAGCTAAGATAAAATTCTCTTTGTGTGAAATCTTGAATTATTAGAAGTTGTGACCTTTTCTGTTATTTCAGGGAATGATTCTAGAAGACCTTGGTCAGCAAATATGCTACACTCTAAACTGACTGGAAATTGTCCAACAAACACACAGCCAATATTTCAGATCATAAATTTATTTTTAATAGATATCCTTTCCTTGGATGTTTAGTAATGAACACCCAAGGTGTTGTTAGAAGCTAGATGTGATTTGACGCAAGGGTAGCAAGAAGGGGAAGAGATAGACAGGACATTTTATAAATCTATCCTGACGAGACCTGCCACTAATAAGGCACAATAGACGTGGTATTATCTCTCATTTTAGGTTTGACTCAGCCCCCTTTCCTCTGTCTTTTTAAAGGCATCTGCTTGTTTTTCGGGGTAGGGGAGGTGGCAGGCAGGCAAGTTCAGTTGATTATGGTTGAACAGAATGAGTGAGTTCTGGTTTTGTCCTTCGAATACAGGAAAAAAAAATGATGCGTCTGTTCTGTCTCAATGAGGAGATAAGTCAAGTGTCTAAGACACTTTGTACCATAAGCAGCCTTGGTAGACTGCATCTCTTAGGCTGTAATGTGGTCCCTCCCTTCTCAGTTGCTATGGTGCTTTTATATTGGCAGGTCCTGGCTATGGTGCGTCTTCAGTAAACAAAAGTAGCCTGCATTCCAGAGTGTTTTATCTTTTAAAATGTTTTTACCTTAGGTTTTGCTGTGTTTTTTCACACAGCTCTTCTGGGGCTTCCAAATACCACGTTTCAGGACAGCTCTTCTTCCTTTTTTGATACGTACTGATCAGAAGCAATGTGTTTTTGGAAGAGTTTCTCTTAATGCTTGAAGAATCAACATCCATGCTGAATATGTTCAGAGAATAGGGAGAGAAGTTACTGTTGAACTGTCCTGTTCTTTCTCTCCCTTTTTGTTCCACTTTCTTGGAATACTTTTCATTTGTAAGTTCATAGCAGAGACTTAATGCTAGCTGGGAAAATAGTAACATACTTGCATCTGTGTTCTATAAGCAGCATAGACTATGACCCCAGTTGATCATCTTATTGTGTTGGTGGATGTGGGATATATCCTGTTACTCTGTTTTGGAAACGTGCTACCATTAGTCAGCTACCTGAGTTCTACATTTGCTACTGTATTTTGAGGTCACATAGGTATTAGTGGGCCCTATATATAAGGTTTCATATTGTACTGCCATAAACATCTTAGAAGCAAACCCTCTCTGTTACTTTGAATGATACAGGAACCACATAATAAGAAGTCACAATTTATTTGAGGGCTTGTAATGATATCCTTCATCAGCTAGAGTGGTTTTGAGTCTTTTAGTGGCAGGTTTTTGTTGATACTGTGAAATTCTTTGAAATCGATAGTGTAGATATTGCTTATTTTTATTTATATCTGTTCCTGAAATGACTTAAAATATTTCAGGTCCTCAAAAACATTACAGCTTAGCTTCTGAAGATGTAATCCACTCCAGCAGACATTCAGAGAAGATATGTAGGAATACTACAGACTTGCATAAAAACCTGAAGCTAAAAGACCACAGTAGAGTTGATACAGTCAGGTAAGTTAAACTTGCTGAATATGTTTTTATGGTATTGTAAAATGCTCAATATGCCAAACATCTTGCCAGAACTGAAAAAAAACAGCCTTGGCTTTCTGCTTGTAGTTTACATGCTGATTACAAATATCAGCATGACTTATTTAGTATCTTGGTATTCTAAGAGAGTACTCTCAGGCAACTCAGATTAAGTGGTATATTTTGTTGTTGAGACTCCAAACTATAAATTTTGGGATTATGTTTTTTTAATGCATTAGTTTTTGTTAATATACAGCACTGAGATTTATAAAGTATATCTACTTCAAATCTTCTAAGTACTTTGGTTGTAAGGTAGCTTTAAAAAGAGCAGATGTGAGCAGGTGAGCCAATGACATTTAACTCGCCATAGTCTATGATATATCTGCTGCATTGCCTTGGAGACTAAGGAGATGACTGGAAACAAGGAAGTTCCCCAAAGTTCTGTCTGTCATTGGTTTCTTACTATGATCTCATAACTAGTAAGGGTCAGTGAGACACTATGAGGTTAGCTATGTGCTATGTGAATATAGCTGATTCGGAGGTTTATGGCTGTTTGGGTTGTGGTTTTTTTGTTTGTTTGGTTTTTAAAATGTTTAGATTATTGAAATTGCAGGTCAGTAGAAAACTAAACAGTATTTGTAAATGAGACCCACTTTCCTAGCTTACCTGTTCTAGGATGTGGGATTTCTCTGTTAAGGCAGAATAGTGACGTTATTAACTTCCTACTTGTTTCAGAGGTGAAAAGGTACGAAACAATACCGGAGGGGAAAAAATGGATATAGTAGCTTGTATTGTATGTATACTTGCAAAATGTAGAGCAAAAGCTATTTTCATGCCTTTTAGTTCTACATACGTGAACATCTGTCACTAAGGCTTAAAGCAGAGTAGCTTGAGGAATTTGAGTTGCTGAAAATCACTGTGGTATGTTTCTTTTAAGGGGCTGGGATGAAAGCCAGGTGGATGATGAGGAAGAAATTCTGGAGGATAAGCAACAGGTTCTTGTATTACAGTGAACATGCAAAGAACTTAATGCAATTTCTATCTTTGCGTATCATACAAAACCAAGAAGCAGATGAAGAGGTGTCTTGAGTGCTGCTCAAGATATTGTTTAGTAAGGATTATTTTGTAAAACTGTCAATAAAAATTATTAAAAATCCCTTGATTTTGGCTTTTTTATTAGTATGAAGAAGTATGTTGCATCAAAGTACACTTTCTGCTTGCCTTCCACATGCTCTTAATATTCTTTGCCCCAGTGAAAAGATTGCAATCAGTCGAAGTACACATGGAAAAATATAAAAAAAATGTCTGTAACAAGATAAAACTAAACTAGTCTTGTGCTACTAGTTTTTAGGATTTTGTTGTTGTTGTTGTTCTTTAATTTTTATTCATTATAAGATTCCTTGCCCACAGATTGAATTTTATGTCTCCAAATGCAGTTTTACATTGCTGAGCTGAGAGGTAATGTGCAAATGGTGCTAATGGAGTGTTCTTAAATTGGGGGTTGCAATATGGCCAAGTTTATATGGTGAGATGCATAGTAGAAAGTGTAATAGGTCTAGTATACTTTACTCCTTATCATATATTTTACCACTAAGGGACTTTCACCTTGCAGAATAGAAATTAACAGTTTTACACAGTGTATTTTACTTCTGCTACACTCTTTTCTTCCTACTTTCAGCAGATAGCATATACTACCAGTAAACTTGGTTTCTTCTGCTCAGCATCGATGGGAAGTCAATTCGCTTTCTCTACTACTTTCACTGTTCCAGTATACCAGTTTGGAGTGATCTATGTTCAGCATACCAAACTCAGCTGTACTGTATGTTGGTATCTTAGAGGCCTTTGAAGATTTAGAGAACAAAGAGGAAATACAGTTAAAATGTTGGGTGGTTTTGATTTTACCAAACCGTTTTAATTTCTGTGTCTGATCATGATGAGGCCTCAGCTATACTTTTGAACTTGCTGCATCTGTGTTGTAGAAAAAAGGCTGTTCTTCCTCCTCCCCTTTCCAGTTAAAGTAAGGTTAAGTGCAATTAATGTCACTTCAGTAAAAGGTCACATGCCAACATGGTACTTTAATGTAAAGAGGTACCAAATGGTAGCTTTCTGGCACTCTTATTGAGGAGATACTTAATTGTACCCAGTAGTTGAGTAGTTTTCTGTGGAGGCGGCAGGAAGTTAACAGTTTTTGAAATGATGCAAGTGGTGTCTTTTGGTAACATGTTTAGGATTCTCAGACACAGCAGCGTGCTTCAGCTTTCTTCAAGGTTTTTTTTCCTTCATGATATTCTGTTTGAATGTGGTGGATGCTTTTTTCCTTCTTTTATTAGTTTCCTCCACTGTGGTTTTTAAGATGCTTTTCAAAGCACCTAAAAAGATTCTCCCAAAGTTTTGATTGAAAAAAATGTATCAAATTGCAGTCACAAAGATTTCTGTCTCATTATGTTGGGAAATTTTGAAAGTGGGATTAATTAAAAGCTTTTGTCTGACAATTGTTCTTACCCATTTACAGGTAAATCACCTGACAGGACTCTAAAATTAATGGTAATCGTTGTTCACAGAAAGTTTCATATAGAAAGAGAAGCTTTATATTCTGCTTGACATCTATCTATGTTCCACAGTTCTCTCATAACTGCTTTAAATGTTTATATAAGATGAAATTTGGAGACCAACACTGTATGTACTTTTGGCCGTGTTGTTATCTATTTTATATTTAATGAAAGGATTACGTCTCTACTTCAGTCATCTTTCACCGCAGCGGCAGTGATCAGTAAGCTACAAATCTTCATGTCAGATGCCTTTTGTTAAAGGTCGTGATTTCCATCACTAAATTGGTTAATTAGGAAATGTAGGTAGTTTTAAGAAATTAGTTTTGTTTATAGCCTCAAATATTTAAAGACATCTTTGAGTGTTCATCTTGAAAACCTCATGATTCTGTGTTCAGAGGTGGCAAGTGACCTTCAATAATGTATCAGTGGAAACATTCCAATTGGTTCTGACAGTTAAGCACATACTTGTTTGTATTCTCCCCATGCCATAGGACTCCAGTGTAGTATGCATTTGTCGTCTGTCTCCCCCCATCAATTATGCACTAATTTAGACAGTGTAGACAGTAATCTCTTCGACAATTTCTTTTACAGGAAAAAGTACTTCAGTAACCCTAATTCATAAAAACTAGAGCCGTCAGGCTGAACAGACCATTGATTTGATTTCCTGCCTCATTTCTTGTCTTTAAGGTGAGGGCATATTTTCCACTTCAGTTTTCTTTATAGAGTTTACCATATATTGATGTTTTATTACAGTAGTTCTTTGCCAGATATTCTAAGAATAAAACCAGAAAGCAGGTGTTCTATTTTGTACATTAAGGCCAGTCCTTTTCTGTCATGAATATAACCTTTTCTTTCTTTTTGAGTTACTTTTCCAAATATTCCTATTACACGCATTTCCCTTGCACAGATAGACTGCCTGCTTCCATGCTGTTCCGAGCCCATTTTAACTAGAAAACCGATGAAGCAGGTGCTACTGTCGTGTGTGCCTGGAGTCCTCAACAGTCAGGTTAATCCTTTGTGCTTGTTGGAGATAACTAGAAAGTCACTGTTTTCAACATCAGATTTTAACAGTTTTCCCCTCCCATGCCTTTTTCTTGAAAGACAAAAATGCTTCTGATAATACCGCTAACAAATTTGAACTAAAAATAAGCTTCCTTCAATGTATTGGTTATCTCTTTGGTTTAGACAGTGATGATTTAAATGCATCTCAGTTTTGTATTCCTAGGTTCACCGCACTTCAAGATGTCTTTCTTGTGTTGAATTTTTTTCTCTCTCCATGATAAAATGGTGGAACTGATATCCTAACTAGAAGACCAAAAAGAGCATCTGAACTGATGCAGTTTTGTGACATTTATTGCTTGTTTTTCTGTTGCAAATAGAACAAATCTAGTGTTTGAAAGCTTGCTGCTTTTGATTATGGATGTGGTTTAATGTACTTCTCTGTGTTTCTCTCTTGATACAAATACAGTGTGCAAATGGTTATGTTTAGGTTTGTTTTTCTTTTTTAATTTCCTCCTGTGCCTGTTGTAGGGATGACTAGAGCTAAACCCAAGTGTCAAGAGATTTGCACAGACAAATGATCTTTTGTGTCCATTTGGAGAAAGAGGAAAGAAGGGGGGGAAAAAGTGAAAGACCAGGTGTGGTTTTTTTTGAGCTTCTAGGATGAGTCTACATGTCTTTTTGTGTACATTAACTTTTGGTAACCTAATTTTACAAAACGTAAATCCTAGGAATTCACTTGGCAATCGATTTGGATTTTGAAAGAGGATATCCCATTTGTTATATAGTATTCTAGGATTCATGTGGACACACATACTTTCCAGTAGTCTGGCAGACTCTACAGGTCTGTCTCTCTATCTTTTTGCCTTTTTGAATGTGACCGTTTTCTGCTTTGCAGCAACTCTCAGCATACTAGACATTGATGTAACAGACTGCCTGGTGGGCAGGTGGGCTTACTATTTTTGGTGGTTATACAGTACAGGAATGGGTGAACCTGACAAGGATTGGATTACTGGAGAGATTTTGAGGGCTACTTTGTTATCTTGGGAGCAAATGTTTCCTTTCTGTCCTTTCAACTAAAGAAAATACAAGGCATGACTTTTGTGTGTGATATTTAAATATCAGTATTCTGACACTCTCAGCTTTTTTTCTCCTGTGATTTTTTTTTTTTTTTTTCTCCTTACGAGCTTGGTGTGAGACCCAGGAAAAATCTGACTCCACCACTCTTCTGCTTAGAGACTTGTTGCAAACATATTTAGTGTCAGAGAATGGAATAATTTGGGAAGGATGAAAACCTAGGAAGTGCCTTCTGTCCATTGTCAAGCCTTATGACCTGTACCAAGAGCAGCATACTTCTGCAGTTTCCATGTTAGTGTTGCTGATCTAAGCAATGAGGGTTAGCATATGGCAATAATCAGATGTTTCTAGATGCTCAGAGGAACCCTCGTGTTTCACAGAGATCTTCTGCCCATCTCTAATGGGGAAACTCTACCCATATATTAAGATTTTGAGCTTTACTAGTCCCAGTTCATTAAAGAATTCTTTCCTACCAGCCAGTATTTCTTTTTTCTTATACCCCAAACTGATGGTACATCGAACAGAGCTCATACTGTTCTCTTGAAATGACCTTTCCATGTTTACCTACCAGATTGCCTGGCACCAGGGGATGACTTTCACAGGCAAATCTAGCTGGTAGCAAGTTGCCAAATATTTTTCAGTCAGTTTCTGTATCTTGGTGTTTTAAATACCAGTTCTTGCTTCAGCTTGCCAGACGAGAAATATCTAGCATAATGGTAAAGGAATTATGTGAAATTTGTGTTGTTCCCAAGTGCTATAATTCCAAGACTTCTATTCCCCTTGGCTTCCTCTAGGTATGTTAGTGCATTTCAGGGAAGGTCACAGAATTGCTGGTACAGTAGCATCAGGCTGGCATCATCCATCCCAGGTGCTGTGCTGCTACGCCGGATTCTGATGTGCGTCTATGTAGTTGCTTAATATGAAACAGCCATCTTTCCATGACCAGTAATGAGCAAATTTGCAGTGTAAAACGAATGTGCCTTGTTCCCAAAATACAGACAAACTTAACAGCTGTTAACTTCAGTTGAATGCTTATTTCTAAAGCACTTACCTGGGAGTCCTTGAAATATTTTAATTGGCTGCCATTTGGCTGGCTGCCTGATGATGTCTTAACTTCTTGTTGTTTTTTTTTATATAGAAGGGGCACTCATCCAAGTAGTCAACTCACAGAAACCACGTGAAGTGCTATTTACTTCTACTAATGTAGCTGGTTGTACACACAAGAGTGTGTTAAAATTGGAAAGTGAGAATTGAGTTTTTCTTGTTCCTGTTTCATTTCAATCAAACACTGTTTGTCACTCCACTTGTGCTGGTACTGTAAAGGTCTCTGGTACATACTGTACAGAGCAGAGCTCTGTTTTACTGTTTCATTCTAACCTTTAATAGAC